TTGATATGTTTCTCGTCACTGAGTTTGATTGTGTTCGTCATTGACTTTGATTAGTTTGATTTAGAAAAATTGGGTTGGTTTTCGTATTACTCCTTTTTGTTGCTTGATGTTAAGAGAAATAGAGAATATAAGACTCTCAAGTTTGATCATCAAACATAGAAACATACCTCATATGCGACTCTCGTTTATGTTGTTCTGCAATTCTCTGCAATTGGATTAAGAACAGAAAATCCTTCTCTGCAATTTTCTTATATGTTGCTCTGCGAAACTGTAACTTGTTTGTGTTCCTTAGCATGGATTAAGAATAAAAAAACTTACGGATGAATGATCTAAGTGTTTAGCCATCCACTTGCCGTGCCTATTTTGCATGATGAGTACATTGTTGAGAGGACGAGAAAGTGTGGTTGATAAACAGAATGATGAGAGTAGATAGACTATGAGAAAGATTCAGAGCTGTTTAAATGCCATTGTTTTTGTAAAGTAGAAGGATATTTATACTAATTTGATTACTCCAAGAGGGTCTTGACGTGGGGTCTTATAGTAAAAAAAAGCTTGTTGTTATTGGTAATAATCACATGAAGTGATTGGGACAAAGTATTTTGTGTTTACAAGTAATGATCTTATACTGTTATGCATTCGTATACATAACTCAATGATCGGTCATGGTATTGTTCTCTTTTGGTATTAGTTATTTTCTATATTAAACTGAAATATAGTCTTGTTAAATTCACTTTCGCTGGATTTTTTTGTTGCAGCTGCGGTTTAGTTTTGTAAGCAAGTCTATTTGATAGTTATAAAGTCTGAACCTAATGAACTTTGATCTCTCTAAGACTTGTGATAGTCGAATGATTTATAGTGTCTTTGACGGATGAATGATCTAAGTGTCTTTGACGGATGAATGATTATTCCGATACATGACTTTTAGTGTTGTTCCATTTCAAACCTTGTTAGCTTCTTGTTACATTTGTGATCAAATGTTTTAGCTTCTTCTTATTTTTCGTTGATGATAATATTCACTATTTGTGATGTTCAGATGGGTTCTTCTTCATCTCCAATTCCAGAGAAAACTCAACATGATGCTCATGATGGTGAAAAAGAGAACACTCAACGTGATCCTTCTGATGGTCGAAACAAAAGAAAGCAAGCGCCGGATGGAAACCAAGCTTCTTCTCAGCCACCAAAGAAGATACTCGAACCAAGGTCTGATGTTTGGAAGGTCTTCACAAGGACGAAAGATGATCGTGACAAGTGCACATGTAACTATTGTAAGAAGGATTATTCATGCCCAACAAAATCAGGTACTTCGAACCTCTTAAAGCACATGACAATCTGCAAACAGTACTTGGCAAGTGGAGATGGTAGTCAGCATGTTATTGATGAAGAGACTGGAAATGCAACGAGCCCCAAAGTATCTGAGGCTATATTCAAAGAGGCTACAGATGAGATGATTGTGATAGGAGAGTTACCACTTTCGTTTGTTGAAAGTATGGCTTGGAAACACTTTTGTAGCAAGGTGCAACTCTACAAGCCTCATTCAAGAAGAACAACTGCCAGAAACATTGTTGAGATGTATGTGCAGAGGAAACAATCTATGAAAGAGTGGTTTCAAGCTAAGAAGCAAAGAGTCTCTCTTACAACAGACATATGGACATGTCAACCAACAGGTCTCGTTTTTTCTTCACATTTAGTTTATTTGGTTCAGTATGTGTAAGCGAGTTCTAAGTTTGTTTGAAGCTTATTTACTTTCCAGTTTTTGAATCACCAGTTTGTATCTATGAATCGTGAGACTTCTGATTTAATAAAGAGAAGTTTTCTCAGCTTTATTCTTTGAACTTATGATCTTCTTGTGTTTGTGTTTATAAGTTTGTCTACAACTTGCAAGTCTATAAGTTTTGCGATTGTGAAACTTATGATCGTTTGAAATATTCTTTTGTTTAAGTCTATATAACTTAGTTTGCAAGACATTCCGAGTGTATAAGTTATAGACGTGCGAGTCTTAACTTAGTTTATTTTTTAAAACTAATTAACTTGTTTTGTATCCTATGAATGCATATATATAATTAGGTGATGGATTCGAATTATCATTTTCATATTAAGGTGTTCGCTCTTTTACTTTTGAAAGGTCACTCTTAAGGTTTAGTTTCTGATGTATTATTTTTACTTGGCGAGTCTAAAAGTTTGTGTTTGCTATGATTTTCCTGTTCTATTTTGATAATTCTGATGTATTATTTGATTTGTTTTAACAGGTGCAAGTTACATGGTCATCACATGTCATTACATTGATGAGTATTGGAAATTGCAGAAGCTCATTACTGGATTCAAGAATGTCGATGATCATAAAGGTACCACAATCTCAAATGTACTTCTAGAGTGTTTAGCAGATTGGGGGTATAGAGAAGGTCTTTACCATTACTGTTGACAATGCAACTGTCAATAGTTCAGCTCTAAGGAGGTTTCACGCTAGTTTTGAAGAACAATCTAATGATGCTTTTATGTTAGATGGAAGTTATATGCATGTCAGATGTTGTGCCCATATCATTAATTTGATTGTGAAAAATAGTTTGGCTAAAGCAGATGATAGTGTAACTGCTGTGCGTAATAGGATTACTTATGTTAGATCATCTACACTTAGGTTGAAGTCATTTGAATTGAGAATGGATTCAGGAATTCGACATTTTCCATGTTAAATAAGGCTATTAAATTCAAGGTAACATTCCAGAAGACAGAGACAGAAGACAAGCTGTACAATTCCGCTGTTTTGAGTGGACTAACGAATAAATAAAACTATGGATCTTTAATGAGACCTAGGTTTTTTTGGTTGCTTATAAGATCTTAATTAACCCTCATTATTGACCCGTCAAAACCCTAGTCGGCCAGAGATAAAATATGAGAGACGAGGAAGAAGAAGAGAAGATGAGAGTCGAGAAGGAGAAAATTTTGGGGACGAGGAAGAAGAAGAGAATAGAGAGGGAGGGACGGTCGTGGAAGAGCTAAACCCCGACCAAACCCGTTCCGACACAACCGAGGTGAGCTATTTTGGTAACTAGCTACGTAAATCTAGGCTCTGTTCATACTTGATCAGAGCATAGAATGATATGAGAATGGTCTGGCCATGATGAGTACAATAAGAGATAAAGGTCATCTACGGTCTCACCCAAGCCGTCGACATGCGAATGTTTATGGCCAATTTGATAAACAATTCACGCTTAGCAGTATTAGAAACGGGCCCAAGTCTTAAGCCTTGACATTCTAGAATATGTATCCTAATATACTTGTTTTAAAAATAAAGAAAAATGGTTTTGTTGAAAGATATAAAAAGTGTTATTGACAAGAAAAATCTTAAAAGATTATCACACGATAGATTGGCCGTGTCTTTGTACGGAAAAGAAAGATTTATGAATTATGTATTTTGTAGAATATTATGGCTGAGCAAAGTTAATATACAGTCACTAGTTTTACTAGTGCGACAAGATATTTCTAGTTTTTTTTAACACTTTACGTGTTTGTCATTTTTTGGTCTATACACAGAAGATATTTCCATATGAAAATAAAATAAGAGGTTGAACATAATCCATGTCATGCTCTCGACTTTTAACAAATATAAGGTCGAACATTCATAAGAGGCAACGTCTAGATTTATTAGCAGAAACGATTTCCTCCGCGAAAACTCAAAAAGAAATATAAATAAAATAAATTGAGAAATTGGTCTCGTACACGAAAGCTCTTCTAACATCAACGTATTGACCATTGAGTCCTTTGTCCTTTGTCCAGATGCATCCCATAAACCAAGTGCAAGACCAATATACGCAGGGTAGAATAGTTATTTTATCCTTAACCATTCGTTCTGCCACGTGTTGCGATCTTAGACTCGTTATATCGGACGGCCGTGCTGAGTCTGGTGACTTCTTATGGTGTGGTAAAGTTCTTTAGCGGAGTTTTTTTTTTGGCTATTCAAAAATTGGTTTACTTCTGTACCGATAACGAAAATCATGTTTTTTTAATACTCTTTTTATAAGTAAATCTCATATAAAATCATGTATATTTATAATAATATCCAAGAATTTCATGAAATTGTATAATAAGTTTACCTATTACTGGGTTTCACTGTTCGTTTGTGAGTCAATCAGTTTCAAACCGGCCGGTAGATAACTTAAACCGAATCGGTAAGTATGTCGGTTTAGTCGTGATATTTTTTAATTGAGCTTGGAAGTATTACTACCGTGCACGCTGGTGTACCGAACATGTGTTATAGACGCGCACCGTATAAAGAAAAAGGAGAATCGGACCGGAGAGAGATAAGGGAGGGTGAAACTTAAAGCACACCATATCCATCTATTTTTCATTTCTCTCTCTTCTTCTTCTTCTTCTTCTTCTTCTTCGTCTTCGACTTTTGATCCTGTGTTACGCTATAATCGATTTCGGTGAGGGGATTTTTTTTACTTCATTCGTGTGTTTGGATTCTTTCAGAGGGATTATTGGTCGTCGGTGATGCTTATTCTTGAATTTTTTTGGAAGCTTATGAGTTCGCAATTGTTAAAGCTAGGGTTTTATTTTCACTTGTTTATCTGTTATACTCGGATTCAGATCGTGAATTCCGTAGAAATTCTCTTACTTTTCTTGTGCTTTTTTTAAAAGTCAATTCCATTTCTTCATTTCTGTTAGTGTTGGTTTCGATTTCTCTCATCTTCATTATTTAGCTGAGTTTGTAGCTTAATTCGAGCAAAGTGGAATTTCAGTTTTCTGAGCTAAGTTGTGTGTTTGGGACTTCACTTATCTGAAGTTCTCTTATTCTAAATCTTACTCAGTATTTGCAGCTTTGTGAAATGATTCCGATAACCTGACCTTGTCAGCTTTACAAATGATTGTTAATTTATTTAAAAATCTTGCTCATTTCTCTTTTCGATTTTGATAGTTTATAAGCACCTTGTTAATTGAATTGGTCTTTTGCAGTCTTGGGCTTCATTTGATAATTGGTTTATGCGTAAAGCTGTTTTTTTCAGGCAGAGTGGTGGTTTGTTTACTAACTCCCTTTATTTCATGATTTAGGAAGTCATGGCTATGGCCACAAGGGTGCTGGCTCAATCTACTCCACCGTCTTTGGCCTGTTACCAGAGGAATGTCCCCTCTCGTGGCTCCGGCCGATCGAGAAGATCGGTGAAAATGATGTGTAGTCAGCTTCAAGTCTCTGGTTTAAGAATGCAAGGGTTTTTAGGATTACGTGGGAACAATGTCTTAGACACACTAGGAAGCAACCGTCAAGATTTCTATTCGAAGATGCGGCAGGCGGTGAATGCGCCGAAGGGGAAAGCTAGCCGTGGAGTGGTGAAAGCAATGTTTGAGAGGTTTACTGAGAAAGCTATCAAAGTCATTATGCTTGCTCAGGAGGAAGCAAGAAGACTAGGCCACAACTTCGTGGGAACCGAGCAGATCCTTCTTGGTCTCATTGGTGAAGGTACTGGGATTGCTGCTAAAGTCTTGAAATCCATGGGGATTAACCTGAAAGATGCACGTGTGGAGGTTGAGAAGATTATTGGAAGGGGCAGTGGATTTGTTGCTGTTGAGATCCCTTTCACTCCTCGTGCCAAACGTGTTCTTGAACTCTCTCTGGAAGAAGCTCGCCAACTCGGTAAGTGTCTTCTCTATAGCAAGTCTTTTGCTTCAGTGTTGTGTCTCTGTGTCTGGAATCTCTATGTTGATTTTTAAGTGTATTATCAAGCTTAGAGTAATAATGGCATAGAAGATTTTGTTTATATGTTGTACGTTTCTCAGCTTGTTTTTGTCCAGCCCCACTGCTGTTAGCTGTTTGGCGTCGCCTACTCATTTAATTTTACACTTTCCTTTTGTTAATAACTTCTTGTGTGAATATCAGGTCACAATTACATTGGATCCGAGCACCTTCTTCTTGGGTTGCTACGTGAAGGTGAAGGTGTTGCTGCTCGAGTCCTTGAGAATTTAGGTGCAGATCCTAGTAATATTCGCACACAGGTATAGTAGTTATCTCACTGGTAAACCAATATTTTTCAGTGTCATATATTTTTGAAGTTGATTGTACAAAACATTAATAACTTAATTGAATTGGATGGCTAGGTGATACGCATGGTGGGTGAGAACAATGAGGTCACTGCTAATGTTGGTGGAGGAAGCAGCAGCAACAAGATGCCTACTCTTGAAGAGTACGGAACAAACTTGACGAAACTGGCTGAGGAGGTACTTACTTATTTGTCGACCTTGACTGTATGAGATCCCCTTGCAGAGATAATATTCTTTGAGACTTATTCAATTCTTTTCTTTGGACTTTAGGGTAAACTGGACCCAGTTGTTGGAAGGCAGCCTCAGATAGAACGTGTGGTACAGATTCTTGGCAGGAGAACCAAGAACAACCCGTGTCTTATTGGAGAACCTGGTGTTGGTAAGACAGCTATTGCTGAAGGACTTGCACAGCGTATTGCCAGTGGAGATGTTCCTGAAACCATTGAGGGGAAAAAGGTAAACATGATACTTGTCTGCTTCTTTGTCTTGTTGAAAAGTTTGCTAGTTAAACAATTGATGGTTATAAATGAGTTTGAGGGTAAGTCTTATCTCGTTGGCTTCAAATTTTCCATGCAATGCATACTGCACACTCCATGCCAGAAGTATAAAAAAAAAATGATGTTACTGCGTAAGTTATCTGATGAAAATGAACGAAGAATTTATGTCCTGAGTAATACGTTCTGTGTGCACTCTGGTGTGTGCAGATTAACTTTCTGACATTTGTTTTTGTGAGAGAATATCCATGCTGATTTGTTCTTGTTTCTGTAATATGAACAACGTACTTGACGGTTTAGACCCCTATCACAACTAATTTTGTATGATAATGCGGAGTAGTGTTACGACAGTGATCTGATGGTGTTTGCGTGTTTCTTTTCTGTGTAAACTTCAGGTTATAACACTTGACATGGGTCTTCTTGTTGCTGGAACAAAATACCGTGGAGAGTTTGAAGAGAGATTGAAGAAGCTTATGGAGGAAATAAAACAGAGTGACGAGATCATCTTGTTTATCGATGAAGTGCATACTTTGATTGGGGCAGGAGCAGCGGAAGGTGCAATTGATGCAGCTAACATTTTAAAACCAGCTCTCGCTAGAGGTGAATTGCAGGTAAAAAATTATTCTGTTTGATCTGGTTTACATGACAACGCTCTACACTTTTGTGTAAACTATTATCGATATTAACTATTTTTTTCAATCACGACACACGACAGTGCATTGGAGCGACAACATTAGATGAATACCGAAAGCACATTGAGAAAGACCCTGCGTTGGAAAGAAGATTCCAGCCAGTGAAAGTACCTGAACCTACCGTGGATGAAACCATTCAGATATTGAAGGGTCTGCGAGAGCGATATGAAATTCACCACAAGCTTCGTTACACTGACGAATCTTTAGTTGCAGCTGCACAGTTGTCATACCAGTATATAAGGTGACTGATCTCTCAGATTTCCTTTTAATAATTTTCTGTTAAACTAATGATGTCATAAATGTTTCTTACATCTGATCATCCTTTGATTCCAGTGATCGTTTCCTTCCTGACAAGGCCATTGACTTAATCGATGAAGCTGGTTCTCGGGTTCGTCTTCGTCATGCACAGGTGTGTGGAATCACAAGCCAGGTTTCTGTTAGATACCATTTTCATCTTTTGATCATTCTTTGACTTGCTCGGTTATATGCAGGTCCCAGAGGAAGCTAGGGAGCTTGAGAAGGAGCTTAGGCAGATAACAAAGGAGAAGAATGAAGCTGTCCGTGGCCAAGACTTTGAGAAGGTACATGCCGCCTATATCTATTCCTTTCATAACTCTTTTACATCTCAGAAGAAGCTTAATGAGATGTAAAATTTCATTTCAGGCTGGGACACTTCGTGACAGAGAAATTGAACTCAGAGCCGAAATATCTGCTATCCAAGCGAAAGGCAAGGAGATGAGCAAAGCAGAGAGTGAGACTGGTGAGGAAGGTCCTATGGTCACAGAGTCAGACATCCAACACATTGTCTCTTCATGGACTGGTATCCCCGTAGAGAAAGTATCAACGGATGAGTCTGATCGTCTCCTAAAGATGGAAGAAACCCTCCACAAACGTGTCATAGGCCAAGACGAAGCTGTCAAGGCCATAAGCAGAGCTATTCGCCGTGCACGTGTCGGCCTCAAGAACCCTAACCGACCAATCGCCAGTTTCATATTCTCTGGTCCAACCGGTGTTGGGAAATCAGAGCTTGCCAAAGCTTTAGCAGCTTACTACTTCGGATCTGAAGAAGCCATGATCCGTTTAGATATGAGTGAGTTCATGGAGAGGCACACCGTGTCAAAACTCATCGGTTCGCCTCCAGGATACGTCGGATACACAGAAGGAGGTCAGCTAACGGAAGCAGTTCGCCGTCGTCCTTACACAGTCGTTCTATTCGACGAGATCGAAAAGGCTCACCCAGATGTTTTCAACATGATGCTTCAGATCCTCGAAGACGGTAGATTAACAGACAGCAAAGGAAGAACAGTCGACTTCAAGAACACGCTTCTCATCATGACATCGAACGTAGGAAGCAGCGTGATCGAGAAAGGAGGAAGACGTATCGGTTTCGACTTAGACTACGACGAGAAAGACAGCAGCTACAACAGAATCAAGAGCCTTGTGACAGAGGAGCTGAAACAGTACTTCAGACCGGAGTTCCTAAACAGGCTTGACGAGATGATTGTGTTCAGACAGCTGACGAAGCTGGAAGTGAAAGATATCGCGGACATACTGTTGAGGGAAGTGTTTGAGAGGCTGAAGAAGAAAGACATTGAGCTTCAGGTGACGGAGAGGTTCAGAGAGAGAGTAGTGGACGAAGGTTATAACCCTAGCTATGGAGCTAGACCTTTGAGAAGAGCGATCATGAGGCTTTTGGAAGATAGTATGGCAGAGAAGATGCTTGCGAGAGAGATTAAAGAAGGAGACTCGGTGATTGTTGACGTTGACTCTGAAGGTAAAGTCACTGTGCTTAATGGTGGAAGTGGTACTCCCACTAGTTCCTTGGAGGAGCAGGAAGATTCTCTCCCTGTCGCTTAAAAAAGGGAAAGTGTGTTTCTCTTCTCGTTCTCTTCTTTTGCTTTTGCCCCCTATAAAACGAATGATGGCAAGAGAATGAGATAATTTGGGGGTTTCGCGATATACATTTTCTATATATTAAAAAAAAATGTGTAATGTATAGATGACATTGTGTAGCTTCTTTTTTCAATGCTTTTTTAAGGACTTGCTTTTAAATGAGTGTTTTAATGGGTTTAGAACGCATTCTTGAAAGTTAAAACTCCCCATACAAGATTCATACAATTTGATTATCAAGCTATAATCAACATAACAGCATCCATTAAGTTGGTAATTAACAAAAATGTCTACAGTCAACACAAAGAAAGAAAAAAAAACAATGGATTTTGAATTCTTACAAGATTTTATGTAATACAAAGAAACAAAGCAGATGCACAAGAGAGTGTACTCGGTCTGAATTTGATCACTTTTTAGTTTTTACCAATTCAAGGAATAAAGAAACAGCTTAATGAGTTAATGAACTTTGTACAAATGAATTCTCAAGAACGAAATTTGATTGATAAAAAAAAAGAATATTTCAAGATCATTTGCGTCTTAGATTATAACAAGAAATAAATATCATTTATTTAACTTTCCGCATTAAATATATATTCTTTTTTTTTTGCATTTGAAATGATGAGTATCCCCAATTATAGATATTTTGCTAACATCCCCAATTGAAATTAAACGCTAACAAAATCAGACACTCTCTTCTCCGCTGTGTTCATCGTCGGGCGTCACCACCTCCGCCCGCTTCGTCTGACATCTCCGTCGTACGCCACCACCACTACAAGGATCGCTGTAGATTTTGGGTAAGTTTCAGCTGGATTTGCCGATAGATCGCAATGTTCTGTGTAGTTGATTTCGTGATTACTTACTTCCCTTTATGAAATCAGGCTGCTTCTTCTCGCAATTCCTTTTCCCAGCTAGAAGATTCACAATGTACAGCGGCAACAACAACAACAGCGTATCGATCTCAGTGTCGGACGACGAGCCAAATGATCTGAACCGGATCCGCACTCGAAACCGTAGAAAGCGGAAGAAACCTGGTCACCGAGACAGCTTTGAGCTTCCACGCTACATTCTTAGGCTTTTCCTTAGATACTGGATCGTCTTGGTTTTTCTTCTCGCCGTCGGGTTGCTACTCTTCGAATCAACGAGTATCGGGACGAAATCTGCGAACCCGGAGCTGAAAAATCCAGTCTCGAGCGGAAAAGAAAGCCCCAGCAAGAAAAACGAAGGAAATTTGAATAGATTGGATCCGACTACAAAAGTTATTGGTGGTATTAGGCAACGTAAGTTAAATCTGCAAAAAAAAAAAGAGACTTTCTTGAATCTGCTGTTCATAAGTTGAAACTTCTGAGTGTTGATAGTGTTTTATGTGTGTTGTGGAATGAGATTTTTGGACTGATGAAGTTTGTCTATGGATTTGTGCGTTAGGTTGTTTGAAGCTTCTGCCTCCTGAAGAGCTTGAGCATCTTGATATCTTAGAGCATAAAGATTCAAGCTCTCCTGTTAAGAAAGTTGTGTACTTAACGGATACGGATACTTCCGTGGGAGAAGAGAAAGCAGCTGTTCGTGTTAATGGGACGCGTTTTAATTTATTTACGGGGAACCAGACATTTGCTGAGAGAGAGAACAGCTTTAAGGTCATGACTTGGTAACTCTAAAAGGCTATAAGAACTTGAGTTTCTCAAAATTGTAGGAATTTGTGTTTTTGATTGCTGAATATTGTATTCTTTGTTTTGCATCAGGTAAGTGAAACAGTTTCAGTGCATTGTGGGTTTTTCAATGTGAATGGAGGGTTTAGGATTTCAGATGAGGATAACAAGTTTATGCAAAGCTGTCAAGTAGTTGTCTCGACTTGTGCGTTTGGTGGTGGAGATAACCTTTACGAACCTATTGGAATGTCTAAAGCATCAACTCAAAAGGTTTGGTCTCTCTGATTCTCCTTGTATCCACTGCTGCATTTTGAACTAACCGTTAAGTCTTTTTGTTGAACTAATTTGCCTGCTGCATCCATTTCTGAAATGAGTTTTTTGTGTGGATGCAGGTTTGCTACGTTGCGTTTTGGGATGAAGTTACACTCGCAACACAGGAAGGAGAGGGTCATAAGGTTGGCGAGGATGGATACATTGGAAAATGGCGAATCGTGGTTGTAAAGGATCTTCCTTTTATGGACCAAAGGCTTAATGGAAAAATCCCAAAGGTACCATTCATCTACTTCAGAGGCACTCGTTGTTCTCCTTGAACTACTCCATTTGCGTGTTTCTGCTTATCGGTTGACATAGCTTAAGTTTAGTTAAGAGTTTATATTCCAGTAAACACAAGCTTGAAACTTCTTTGATATCATTTTGTGCCCGTGTGAAATGGTCTTTGCTTGATCTGAGTATAGTATAAGATGTATTCATGAAGTGTTTTAATGAATTTACTTGTTGTTAGATGTTGGCTCATCGTCTTTTCCCGGAAGCTAAGTACTCGATTTGGGTAGACTCCAAGTCCCAGTTTAGAAGAGATCCACTTGGTGTATTAGACGCTCTTCTCTGGCGAACAAACTCGGTGCTTGCAATCTCAGAGCACGGAGCACGAAGCAGCGTATACGACGAGGCGAAAGCTGTCGTCAAGAAACACAAAGCTACACCCGAAGAAGTCGAAGTGCAGATAAACCAATACCGTCATGATAAATTACCAGAAGATAAAAGATTCAACGGGAAAAAAGGTAAAAAAATGAAAGTCTTTTTGTATCATCTCTGTTGCAGCAAGACTCTTGAGGATGACGTTTGTGACAAGTAGTGTTTCAACTTGCAGCTTTGTCTGAAGCCTCTGTGATTGTGAGGGAACACACTCCATTGACGAATCTTTTCATGTGCCTGTGGTTCAATGAAGTGGTTCGCTACACGTCGCGTGATCAGTTGAGTTTCCCATACGTTTTTTGGAGATTGAAAGTTCTCAAGAACGTTAACATGTTCCCTGTGTGTACACGTAAAGATCTCGTCAATAGCATAGGCCATGTACGCAAGGCAAAACCGTTAGCTTAGTCTTATAGATTTGCGTCCTAACTTTCCAATTCAATTTATAATTTATTTTGTGTTTAAGCTAGTGGAATATATAGAAACTGAACCGATATTTTCCGAACCGAATGCGAATTACAATCTATCTCGGTAACTATATGCATATACCAACCAAAGTAAACCAACATTTAACCGGAATAACCAAATCGGAATATTCTCTGGCGTTTTCGGTTCATTTATTTTTGGAGAGAAAGTGATTATTTAAATCGGAATATCTATAAACACCCGATTTAAATGCATAGACGAAAATATTATATGTTGAATATATATAATTTACATAAGAAAAAACCTTATACAAGTTTAGCGATGTGTCACAAAATCTACGTCATAATTCGTATTTAATATTAGTTGAGTGTGTGTCTATTGTGTTGTTATTTTTGTGGGTGAACAAAAGGTTTGTGTCTATTGTGTTGTTGGAAAAAAAAAACAAAAACATAATTTTAAACACAATTCCATTAAGTTGAATAAATTGAAATTCATAAGAAATTATGCGTATTTAAAATACATATATACTAAACGAGATAAGATCTATGCGTATGTCTTAACTTTGTTTCATGATAAGTTAAGAGGTATATATCTATGCGTATGATCGATGCAATGTAGCATTTGTACTCTAAGCTTTATATTGTTCTAAAAAAAAGTTATATTTGATTGCCCTGTGAATTTTCTTAGATCTAAACTCATGTTTATTATGAGCCATGCATTTACAACGTGAATATGTGGTGTGTCAGAAATCTGTCCATTTTAGTTCTCTTCAAGAAGTCTAGTAACATCAGAGCAAAACAATCCAATAAAAAATCTTATATTCCCCAAATCGATTTTGAGAGTTGAGGATTTTTAGTTGGCTAGTTTCATGTTTACAACAACACTTTTTAAAAAGCTAAATTTTTTTATAAAAAAATTTCCATATCATATAATCATGCAAAAAATGTAAAATGTCTTTATTCCTTGTTGGTTTACAGACTAAAAGGAAAACTGAAGTTGATATTTCATAGGATTAAGATAAAACGTTTTCATGTAGAATTTGGTATTTGTGTAAAAGAAAGCGATGTCACATTATGGATTCTAGCTAATGCCAGTTTGCAGAAGTACTATTAAATCTTTGGAGATTTTGCTCATATTCGTACTACATTGAATGGAAAAGAGAAAGGAGAGAGAGAGTCGTACAATTACAAAACTCTATTTCAATTTGAATCGGTTTTTGTCTTTAATATTTTTGATGCATAGTAGGTGATTTTATTAGATTGTGAGTAAAGGTTATCTCTCGTATCATGAGGTCCTGAGGATAAAGACTTCAATGGATATCTAAACTGTAGATGGAAACGTTTTGTCTATTTCTTAATTTAGTTATTTTGCTTGTGTTCTTCTAACTAGGGAAGATCAATACTTCACTAAACAACAATGAAATAATAATAAAACCTTAAAAGTTGAAACTGGTTCGATCAGATTAGAAAACATAGATAGTGTTTCATTATCACACCTCTGTTATAGAGGTAAGTTTTGTTATTTGGATATATGTTACTGTATAATTCACGAATAACAACACTATTTGAATAACAGCTATAAGATCAACCTAGATAAAAAGAAGTGTTTGGTGGGGATAAATAGCAATTATGAGATCAACCTAAATATGTATGAAATATTTCTGTAGATACTACATACATTTTACAACCATCACATGCTACAATGAAATATTTCTTTAGATCCTATATGCATAAAAAACCTTAAAGTAACACCCACTTACACTTTAAACCTCGAAAGTTTTTAACTAACACCTTAAAGTTTTAAACTAATCTTTTTAAAATATTAAACCATCAATCTAGTTTAGACAAAGTCGTTAGCTTAGATATAAGAATACATTTTCTGGTAACAATATAATGGTTTTCTGAATACGAAAATAAGAACACAAGT